CAACTTTCAGTCGTAGGTGGCGCTGTTTTAACTTTTTCTCGTAGGTGGCGCTGTTTCAACTTTCAGTCGTAGGTGGCGCTGTTTTAACTTTTTCTCGTAGGTGGCGCTGTTTCAACTTTCACCCGTAGGTGGCGCTGTTTCAACTTTCATTAGAACTTGTAGGTGGCGCTGTTTCAACTTTCAGTCGCAGGTGGCGCTGTTTCAACATTCAGTCGTAGGTGGCGCTGTTTCAACTTACGCTAGAACTTGTAGGTGGCGCTGTTTCAACTTTCACCCGTAGGTGGCGCTGTTTCAACTTACGCTAGAACTTGTAGGTGGCGCTGTTTCAACTTTCACCCGTAGGTGGCGCTGTTTCAACATTCAGTCGTAGGTGGCGCTGTTTCAACTTACGCTAGAACTTGTAGGTGGCGCTGTTTCAACTTTCACCCGTAGGTGGCGCTGTTTCAACTTACGCTAGAACTTGTAGGTGGCGCTGTTTCAACTTTCACCCGTAGGTGGCGCTGTTTCAACTTACGCTAGAACTTGTAGGTGGCGCTGTTTCAACTTTCACCCGTAGGTGGCGCTGTTTCAACTTACGCTAGAACTTGTAGGTGGCGCTATTTAAATTATTACTTTAACACATAGATGGGGCTGTTTCATGAACACCCGTTTCATCTCATAGTCTGTTCCGGTGAATTAGTATCTCCAATAATTTGATCCTTGCTTATTGGATAATATCAGCGATTGATTACTTGCACCATAGAATGGTAGTGGTATGGTCGCCATGTATAAGCGGTTCGGTAGCCACATAGTAGCCTTCATATCATATGGTGGCTTTGTGGTAGCCATATGATAGTTGTGTGGTAGATGTTTGGTATCCGTATGATAGCAAAAAATACATGTACACAGCTACCATAATATGGTAGCTGTGTGGTATCCGTATGGTAGCCATATGATGTTAGGAATCCGTATGGTAGCCATATGGTAGCTGTATGTTGGCTTTAAGATAGCTGTACAAAATGACTTACCTGAAATGTAAAATCTATAAATAGAACAATACACTTTTGAAAAGCACGACTTTGTCGCGTGAATTGTAAACGTTTTAGCGCTGAAGTCGACGAAAGTGGATTCCCATCCAACATGATCCTCGCAGCTAATTTGATACTTCCATTAACGGAGTCCATAATTCATAAAACAACCAAAACCCTTGTTCATCGGGTATCCCCATGGTGCTTCCCATTTAAATTAACTCCCTTGATTGCGAGGCTCTTAATGTCACCGGTAGATGGCGCTCTGACCTAAAACACCCACTGCATCTTGAGGGGAGGGGCGGCAGCGCTATTTTTAGCTCCGCGCGGAAATTGCGCGATTGAAGCAGCCTTGAGTTAAAATTAACCGACCGTTAATGCGCACGTGCACTGTGATGTGACAAGATGATCATTAACGTGAGCAGATTTAATTAAAACACAATCCAAGTAATCTTATTTTATTTCGACATTTAATATTTAATTAATGAAACGGTAGAGTTGCATTATTCCTTATCCCCAGTGCAAAGGATCGATTTAACAGCTAGCTAGTTCTGACTAGAAAGTGGAATTAAATCTCATTCAAAAACGTCTCTCAAATTTATAGGATAATAAAAATGTCTCAAGTAGCTTACTATTATGCGCTTACATAAAAATATGTGTAATAAGCCTACATGTTTTTGCGTGTTTTCTTTAAAATTCGGCCATTTTATTTTTTTTTTTTGCTTTTATTATTAGACTTAAGAGTTTGATTGTGTTTTTAATTTGTTATTTTTTTTTTTGCCCGCAACTTTACATGTGATTTGTTTAGACAAAGTTTGTTTTTAGAAATGACAGATCTATTACGAACTTCTCATTAAATTCCGTTTAATGAATGATGACAGAAGCCTTGTTGTTTTTACAAGTTTAGCCGTTAAGTGCCGCAGAAACCTGCAGAGACTGTCATTCCTAGCAGACTTCCGGTACTGACATTAACAGCAGAGTTTCTTCCAGGCATCTCTTTGGGTTTTGCCCCCCCCCCCCCCAACGAAATGAAATTTCTATAATTTATATAGAAAATATATACTTTTAACAGTGTCCGCCCCCCGAAGAAAGTCTACCGCCCCCCCCCCCCCCCCGAAAATTTCAAGTGCCCCCCCCCCCCCCGCCCCGGAGAAAAAAGTCTGGAAGAATCACTGATCAACAGGGCAGTGGGTCTCTAAAACACGTGGTTTATTTAATGAATTTTACGCTACGGCACCACGTGTCAGAGTTAGGGATGTCATATGCGTCATATACGGATGTCACATGTGTCATATGGCACATGAGAGATGTCACACGTGTCATATGTCATGGCATATTAGGTACGTCATTCACACCCCCACCACCGACCACTTTATTTTTAATTGTAGTTACTTATATGTCGTCCTCTATCTCGAGCCTATTTCCCAGCATACTGAATTTTGAATACCATAAACAGTCATTCACGTCTATTTAACCTAATGTCCCCCCCCCTCTCTCCACACCTCTGATCCAGCTCCTAACATCTCCCCCCTCTCTCCACAGCTATCAGCCAGGCACCCCTGCTACTCCACACACCTTGTATTAGCCCCGCTCCTAACATCTCCCCCCTCTCCACACACCTTGTATTAGCCCCGCTCCTAACATCTCCCCCTCTCCACACACCTTGTATTAGCCCAGCTCCTAACATCTCCCCCCTCTCTCCACAGCTATGAGCCAGGCACCCCTGATACTCCACAAACCTTGTATTAGCCCAGCTCCTAACATCTCCCCCCTCTCTCCACAGCTATGAGCCAGGCACCCCTGATACTCCACACACCTTGTATTAGCCCAGCTCCTAACATCTCCCCCTCTCTCCACACACCTTGTATTAGCCCAGCTCCTAACATCTCCCCCCTCTCTCCACACACCTTGTATTAGCCCAGCTCCTAACATCTCCCCCCTCTCTCCACAGCTATGAGCCAGGCACCCCTGCTACTCCACACACCTTGTATTAGCCCAGCTCCTAACATCTCTCCCTTCTCTCCACACACCTTGTATTAGCCCAGCTCCTAACATCTCCCCCCTCTCTCCACAGCTATGAGCCAGGCACCCCTGCTACTCCACAAACCTTGTATTAGCCCAGCTCCTAACATCTCCCCCCTCTCTCCACATAGCTTGTATTAGCCCAGCTCCTAACATCTCCCCCCTCTCTCCACACACCTTGTATTAGCCCAGCTCCTAACATCTCCCCCCTCTCTCCACAGCTATGAGCCAGGCACCCCTGCTACTCCACACACCTTGTATTAGCCCAGCTCCTAACATCTCCCCCCCTCTCCACACACCTTGTATTAGCCCCGCTCCTAACATCTCCCCCTCTCCACACACCTTGTATTAGCCCAGCTCCTAACATCTCCCCCCCCTCTATCTACAGCTATGAGCCAGGCACCCCTGCTACTCCACACACCTTGTATTAGCCCAGCTCCTAACATCTCCCCCCTCTCTCCACAAACCTTGTATTAGCCCAGCTCCTAACTTCTCTCCCCTCTCTCCACACACCTTGTATTAGCCCAGCTCCTAACATCTCCCCCCTCTCTCCACACACCTTGTATTAGCCCAGCTCCTAACATCTCCCCCTCTCTCCACAGCTATGAGCCAGGCACCCCTGCTACTCCACACACCTTGTATTAGCCCAGCTCCTAACATCTCCCCCTCTCTCCACACACCTTGTATTAGCCCAGCTCCTAACATCTCCCCCTCTCTCCACACACCTTGTATTAGCCCAGCTCCTAACATCTCCCCCCTCTCTCCACAGCTATGAGCCAGGCACCCCTGCTACTCCACACACATTGTATTAGCCCAGCTCCTAACATCTCCCCCCTCTCTCCACACACCTTGTATTAGCCCAGCTCCTAACATCTCCCCCCTCTCTCCACACACCTTGTATTAGCCCAGCTCCTAACATCTCCCCCCTCTCTCCACAGCTATGAGCCAGGCACCCCTGCTACTCCACACACCTTGTATTAGCCCAGCTCCTAACATCTCTCCCCTCTCTCCACACACCTTGTATTAGCCCAGCTCCTAACATCTCCCCCCTCTCTCCACACACCTTGTATTAGCCCAGCTCCTAACATCTCCCCCTCTCTCCACACAACTTGTATTAGCCCAGCTCCTAACATCTCTCCCCTCTCTCCACACACCTTGTATTAGCCCAGCTCCTAACATCTCCCCCCTCTCTCCACACACCTTGTATTAGCCCAGCTCCTAACATCTCCCCCCTCTCTCTACAGCTATGAGCCAGGCACCCCTGCTACTCCACACACCTTGTATTAGCCCAGCTCCTAACATCTCCCCCCTCTCTCCACACACCTTGTATTAGCCCAGCTCCTAACATCTCCCCCCTCTCTCTACAGCTATGAGCCAGGCACCCCTGCTACTCCACACACCTTGTATTAGCCCAGCTCCTAACATATTCCCCCCTCTCCACACACCTTGTATTAGCCCAGCTCCTAACATCTCCCCCTCTCTCCACACACCTTGTATTAGCCCAGCTCCTATCATCTCCACCCTCTCTCCACACACCTTGTATTAGCCCAGCTCCTAACATCTCCCCCCTCTCTCCACAGCTATGAGCCAGGCTCCTCCACACACCTTGTATTAGCCCCGCTCCTAACATCTCCCCCCTCTCTCTACAGCTATGAGCCAGGCACCCCTGCTACTCCACACACCTTGTACTAGCCCAGCTCCTAACATCTTCCCCTCTCCACACACCTTGTATTAGCCCAGCTCCTAACATCTCCCCCTCTCTCCACACACCTTGTATTAGCCCAGCTCCTATCATCTCCCCCTCTCTCCACACATCTTGTATTAGCCCAGCTCCTAACATCTCCCCCCTCTCTCCACAGCTATGAGCCAGGCTCCTCCACACACCTTGTATTAGCCCCGCTCCTAACATCTCCCCCTCTCCACACACCTTGTATTAGCCCAGCTCCTAACATCTCCCCCCTCTCTCCACAGCTATGAGCCAGGCACCCCTGCTACTCCACACACCTTGTATTAGCCCAGCTCCTGCAGTTGTCGCCGTGTTCCTTGTTGTCCTGAGTCTTGTCATGCCGCCATCTGCCCTCATCGACCCCAGTACCACCCTGGGATGTCACGTGCGCAGCTACCGGTTCCGCTACACCAAACCCCCAATCTACGACAGCGACGGCACCCTCCTCACGTGCACCGGCTTCGTCACGGTCAACTCCTGTTGGGGTCGCTGTGACTCCAGTGAGGTGAGTAACCTTTTGACCTTATGACCTCTGTAGTCTTTGTTGTCTTAAAACCTAGTTTTGGGTGAGGGTTGTAGGAACTACCAGAACACTTGAAGAAGGTGACCGTTCTAGATAACACCCGGGTCTAGAACCCACGCTTTCTTGAGGTTTCGGCTGAAATAGATGTAAACATGAACTTTGACCTCTATAGAATACGATTGTATGAGCCCAATCCTCTGGTTTGGGCGTAGAGTAGGCTCTTGTCTCCGCGGATACCCAGCAAGTACTGACAGAGGTCTCTGGGCACTGAGACTAGACCAGCGTCCTGCTTGAGGGTCTGGGCACTGAGACTAGACCAGCGTCCTGCTTGAGGGTCTGGGCACTGAGACTAGACCAGCGTCCTGCTTGAGGGTCTGGGCACTGAGACTAGACCAGCGTCCTGCTTGAGGGTCTGGGCACTGAGACTAGACCAGCGTCCTGCTTGAGGGTCTGGGCACTGAGACTAGACCAGCGTCCTGCTTGAGGGTCTGGGCATTGAGACTAGACCAGCGTCCTGCTTGAGGGTCTGGGCACTGAGACTAGACCAGCGTCCTGCTTGAGGGTCTGGGCACTGAGACTAGACCAGCGTCCTGCTTGAGGGTCTGGGCACTGAGACTAGACCAGCGTCCTGCTTGAGGGTCTGGGCACTGAGACTAGACCAGCGTCCTGCTTGAGGGTCTGGGCACTGAGACTAGACCAGCGTCCTGCTTGAGGGTCTGGGCACTGAGACTAGACCAGCGTCCTGCTTGAGGGTCTGGGCACTGAGACTAGACCAGCGTCCTGCTTGAGGGTCTGGGCACAGACTAGACCAATGTCCTTATTGAGGTTCTGACTCAAAAGAAGCTCGGACCTCAGTCATTCCACTCAAGTGACCTGGTATGTTTACACCGACCAGATGTCAGTCCGGACTGACCAATGACAGATAACCGAAACACAGCTTATTGGTACAAATACCTCTTGTGGATAATCTTGTACGTCGAACGCTCATTCTCCAACCTTCCCCATACCAATCTTTTGTCCCCGTAAAATATATGGGTCTTGTTTTTAGAGAAAAACAAAACAAAAACAAACCAACGAATAGATTAGAAATATAAATCAAGCTTATAAAAAGAAAATACATTTTTACTAATAAAAATGGAGGGTGGGAAGGGGTAGGGGTGAGGGTGGGGGGGGGGGGGGGGGTGGAAATGTGGGAGGGGATCAATTTAAGACGAATTCAAAGAAATGATATACACCCATGGTACACCCCAACAGACTTACATGAATATATCATGTCGGAACGGTCATGCTAGTCCACCCGACATTAGAAGTATTTAGCCACTTTGCTGGACGGGACTAATTTAATTACTGTAATAGGATTTACATTGTTTTTCCTCTACACTTATAACTGTTCTTGCGAGTGTAACGTTAAGAACATCCCAGTCTTCAAAGACATTCCGCCTCTACCCCCACTCTACCCCCACTCTACCCAGACATTCCACCTCTACCCCCACTCTACCCCCACTCTACCCAGACAATCCACCTCTACACCATTGATTTTTTTTACGCCTTAGAAAATGTCCGGCCGGCGCCAAGAGATAGATCTCCATTCTAATAGGCCGATGTGTATCGGGGAAAATAGAATTACGATTTAATAATGAGACTGGTGAAGCGTAGAGCTGTTGGGGAATTCCCTGTTGGCTATTTTTAGCCGTGACTGATGGGCGACTTTATTTAAAACGTTTTCTGTTGTCAATACTGCAGTTGGCGACAAAATGACTGAATCACTCGGACGGTTAGCTATTAAATATAATAACATATACATACCCACAACCAACCTCCCAATCAGCCAAACACCCAACCAAACAATCACTCAAATTACCCGAACAACCAAACCAAACAAGCAACAAACCAGTTAGCCAAAGTAATAGTCAGGCACCAGAGGCGTAGTGATCCCTCCGGCGCCCGGGGCGGACTTTCAATTTTGACCCCTTCCTTCCATTTCTATATGGAAGGAAAAAAGTTTGAAAAGGTTTATGGAGCTTCTTACTATTTACTATCCTGTAACAGTTCCCATGTTAGTGCCACAAAAAACAGTTAAACCAGTGTGTAAAGTTTTTTATTTTCGTAATTTTAATCATGTATAATTCCATAATCAGGTTAAAATGAGCTTTTAATTCATTTTTTTTACTTCCTTTGGCGCCCATTCGGGTCGGCGACCGGGGCAGCCACCCCATCCGCGCTCCCCTAGCTACGCCACTGTCAGGCACTCTAAAGCCAGACACACACACTTATATACAAAAAACCTTAGGACACACACTAAGGCACCGTTCAACCCAGATACACACACCAAGACACACAAGCACGCACATACACACACACACACACACCAAGACACACACACACACACCAAGACACACAAGCACACACACACACACACACCAAGACACACAAGCACGCACACACACAAGTACGCAAATGTTTTCTGTATCAGCGACCACCCCCGGATTAACTAAAGCTTACATATTTATGCAGCCTCACCCGGGGACAATTTATCTCCCATTTTCTCAATGCTTTCTTTACAAGGGACGCAACTGCTTGAATAAAACCCTACACCCGTTTTTTTACCGTAGGACTTTGGTAACAATTTCTAAGGTTTTTAAACTGATACACATTATGTTTGTTCAGAATCACACAAGGCTCTTATTTTAAGGAATAAAATCCTGAATCATGAAAAAAACAACAACTACCAAACATGTTCAGTAATAATTTCGTCACAACGATCCTCTAAAATTACTTGCCTAGTCAATGTCTAAATTAAACTAAAAGTAAAGATCCCTTACTGATGGCCCATGAACAAATGAAGTAGAGTCATTTTATTTTATGACCTCAGTATTGTGAGGTCAGCACTACACCTAGCTGCCTTTTTCCTAACGCCAATCAGTTACCCATCAGAGCTGGGTGGACTCAATGAGGTTGTTTATAAATCTGGATTAGAACTCGAGACCTTCGGATTATGCTCAACAAATTAATCGATGTTAACGTCAGGGGCGTAGCGAGGGGGGGGGGGGGGGGGGGGCGGGGGTGCGGACCGCACCGGGTGACACCATTTAGGGAGGTGACACCAAGGCAAAAAATAACACAATATATAGAGAAAAACTTGAGGGGGGGGGGTGCAAATCGAAAGTTTGGGGGGGGGGTGCAACGCCTCTGGGGGGGGGGGGGGGGGGTGACACCATTAAGTGCCGCACCGGGTGACACCCGACCTCGCTACGCCACTGGTTAACGTTAGGTTTCGACCTAAAACTAGCGACGTTTAGACTTTATCCTCCATCTAAACGACACGACAGTGGTCCATATGTCGGCCCTCCTCCCCATCTAAACGACACGACGGTGGGCCATATGACGGCCCTCGCCTAGCCGCTAACGAGTTTGCACAGAGATCTGATTTAGTTGTTCCAAACACGGAATCGATACTGCAATCAAATTCAGATTTTGTTTCAAATTAAATTATCGATTTGGAATCGATTTAACATGACCATACTCGTGCCTTTGACGCCGAACCATTCTGTGCAAAGATGGAACTATGCCCGTGGTCTCATTGTACAAGCCACATCCTTTCCTAAATCTTGGAAGGATGGTGCGTACGTTTTCAAAGAGTTTTGGAGAGTGCAGCTACGAATCTTGTTTGTGAAGGAATGGTGCGTACGTTTTCAATGAGTTCTGGAGAGTGCATCAATAAATCTTGTGGGTGTTTGTACACAGCTGGGGGTGACTGATGCCACGTTGTTCCAGGATAGGTCACGTGGTTTGCCTTTCAGAGTGGAACCGGAAGTGGTGGTTAATGGTGCGAAAAGAAAATGTCAAGGTGGATTTTGTTGCCTCGTGTGTTGACGGAAGGGAATGAAATCTTTCTGTTCTGGTGGGGTAGATCAGGAAATCTTTCTGTTCTGGTGGGGGTAGGTCAGGAAATCTTTCTGTTCTGGTGGGGGTAGGTCAGGAAATCTTTCTGTTATGGTGGGGGTAGGTGAGGAAATCTTTCTGTTATGGTGGGGGTAGGTGAGGAAATCTTTCTGTTATGGTGGGGGTAGGTGAGGAAATCTTTCTGTTCTGGTGGGGGTAGGTGAGGAAATCTTTCTGTTCTGGTGGGGGTAGGTGAGGAAATCTTTCTGTTCTTGTGGGGGTAGGTCAGGAAATCTTTCTGTTATGGTGGGGGTAGGTCAGGAAATCTTTCTGTTCTGGTGGGGGTAGGTGAGGAAATCTTTCTGTTATGGTGGGGGTAGGTGAGGAAATCTTTCTGTTATGGTGGGGGTAGGTGAGGAAATCTTTCTGTTATGGTGGGGGTAGGTGAGGAAATCTTTGTGTTATGGTGGGGGTAGGTCAGGAAATCTTTCTGTTATGGTGGGGGTAGGTCAGGCAATCGTTCTGTTCTGGTGGGGGTAGGTGAGGAAATCTTTCTGTTCTGGTGGGGGTAGGTGAGGAAATCTTTCTGTTATGGTGGGGGTAGGTCAGGAAATCTTTCTGTTATGGTGGGGGTAGGTGAGGAAATCTTTCTGTTCTGGTGGGGGTAGGTGAGGAAATCTTTCTGTTATGGTGGGGGTAGGTGAGGAAATCTTTCTGTTCTGGTGGGGGTAGGTGAGGAAATCTTTCTGTTATGGTGGGGGTAGGTCAGGAAATCTTTCTGTTCTGGTGGGGGTAGGTGAGGAAATCTTTCTGTTATGGTGGGGGTAGGTGAGGAAATCTTTCTGTTATGGTGGGGGTAGGTCAGGAAATCTTTCTGTTATGGTGGGGGTAGGTCAGGAAATCTTTCTGTTCTGGTGGGGGTAGGTGAGGAAATCTTTCTGTTCTGGTGGGGCTAGGTCAGGAAATCTTTCTGTTATGGTGGGGGTAGGTCAGGAAATCTTTCTGTTCTGGTGGGGGTAGGTGAGGAAATCTTTCTGTTCTGGTGGGGGTAGGTTTGGAAATCTTTCTGTTCTGGTGGGGGTAGGTCAGGAAATCTTTCT